TAGTTCCCTTGCTTTCCAAATCCAAATGATACCAAGAAAGATCCTTCCTGTCGTAGAGAACCAAGAGAGGTAGGAGAGACAAGACTAGAGGAAAAAGTGACCACGAGATTAGATCCAACCATTAGATTTAATCTAAGATCCACAATCATCTCGAAATCCACTAGTCCAATAAGCGTCATGGGAATTAAGTGATCAGTACTCACAAATCAACATATCTATAGTTGAAGAGTAATAAGAACCATTCATGTACTTTTCAGGTAGCTGTGTTTGGGTTCTTGTCCTTTGACTAAGTTTATGTATGGCTATTGAGTGTGAGTATTTTGTTAAACGTGCAAGGTACTGTAGATAATTATCAAAAAATAAGTTTTTTTCTAATATTCTATGTAGTACGAGTAATTAGAGTTCTCTACTTCTTCATGAATGGTCATTTTCATTTGTTTTCGCTTGATAGTAAGCTTTCATGTAATTGACTTCGAGTAAATCGACTCATCCTATAAGCATGATACACACTATACAAATAGTGTATAAAAGTTTCACATGCTGATTATTGAGAACAATTCAATGTGCATTAATCGTCCTATGAATATATGTTCATTCTATCTATCTTTATTTCTTCAATCTCGTATATGTGGAGGAGGACACTCTATATTATAAACTCAACTCTATGTCTCTTGAATTCTTACCGTTAACATTATAGAATCAACCCTAAATCTCTTGAATTCTTTTACTTTGCATTATCATTGTTTGCTAGAATGATGTAACATTTTGAGATTGATCAAACTATCGCGATAAAAGGTTAATCTCAACGAGTGAACCAAAAAAAATTATTTTGGATATTGTTTGTTTTGAATGTTTGCTTTGGATATTAATTTAGTTAGTTTGAGTATTATTTGTTTTGAATTTAAATTTTAACTGAATTTTTTTTTTTAAAAAGGGGCAGGAAACGGGGTAGGCCCTCGCCCCGAACCCGGCCCGCCGCCATCTCTACTAGATATACAATTGTAAGGCATAACTATCCGCCACTATCAAGGTAAGATGGAGACCGACCTAACCATTCTCTATAAAATATAACTATTGATCTTAGATAAACAAATATGATTACATATGAATCAAAAATTATATCACGTTCTCTTTGGATACTATTTGACTTAGGTATTAGAGTCTTTTCGATTGCTTTACCCTCGTTACGCGACGATAACTAGGCAAATAAAGTTCACATTTTGCTGATTTCTAGTTTTAGATCTCATGAAATTGGCGTAGAAGCAAAAATACAGTTTTAGAACTCAACAATTATGGTTAACATAAATACTAGATTAACCTCTTGAAAACATCAATTTTGATTACGTTATTGACTTTAAAGAACACAACTAAAATCAGATTTTAGAACTAAGAGTCCGTTTGATTGTAAGAATGGAATTTGGGAGAGAATTGAATTCTATAGAACTTGTTTTACTGAGAATTGTCAATTAATTGTATTTGATTGGTATAATCTTCTACCTCAAAAATATTGAAATTTTGGATCTTTGGTGTTCATTTGACTTTGTTTTTTATGAAATT